AATGTGTGATATGTGCAGCAAAACATGAGTGCAAGAATGTCTGCAGCTGGTATATTTCTAATGGGTCAAATTTTAAGACTGATACATAAATAGGAAAGTAAGGAAAAGCTGGAAGCAACTGAATGTTCAGAGTGTGGAACGGATGAATAACAGTGTATTCACACAATGGTACACTAGACAGCGATGAGAATGGATGACCCACAACTGCCCACAACACTGAAAATGAATAAGTGTCACAGACACAAAGTCAAATGAATGGAAGTAAGCATAAATCACTACACCCATTTGTGTGCATTTAGTAAAGTTAGAAGATGGGGAGGAAAATTCACCTCTACTGTTAGAGGTCAGCTCGGAGGTTACCTTCAGAGAGCAGACATGGAAAGGAAACAAGAGGAGGTTTTGGAGAAGCCAGGAAGGCTCTGTCTCTGTCTGGTGCTATGCCCTTTGTGACAAATTCATCAAGCTACACGCATGACATGTGGATCTATTTGTATGTTAGAGTTTAGTATTAAGCTTAAGAAGAAGGAAGAGGAAGGGAGGTGGGGTGGGGGGAGAGGAGAACTTAGGAGGAGGAAGAAATCCTAACCTGCAGACCTGTAAATGTGCTTCCTGGAGAAAGCACTGCTTTGATTTCCAGTTTTTATGGAATTGTATCATGCCCTATGCTCACAGTTCAAGATAATGCCACCAAAACACTCCTACAGAACCCCAGTGTGAATAAATGGCTGTGTGAACATTACTGGAATCATATTTTGCCATATTCCTTACGGGCATTTAATGACCCACAATACAAACTTTCCTAACACCTCAGTAACCAGAAAAATTACTCTTATCTCAAGCAATAGGTATTTGTTTAATTTGCACACAACAAATCTATAGGATATTGTGTTTCCCTTTTAGCTTTGGCTGCTAGGAAGCTCAGCGGTAGACTGCCAGCTCATTCATTCTGTGTCTATTCTGTGCCAGCGGCTGGGATTTTAAAATGACCAAGACACATCCCTGCCCTAGGATGTTAAGTCTGGCTGGGACACAGACCTTCAGGAAGGTATTAGGAAATGGTCAGTACTGAGGAGAACACAGGGCCAGTGGTAGCAGAAAGTAGAGCCCTAACCTACCCTGAGAATGCAGATAAGACTCCTTGGGGCAGGAGCTCCTACACTGATGAGAAGGAAGAGGAGGCCCTGAGCAGAGGAGGCAAGTGAAGGGAGCACTCCAGGCTGGGTAGGCAGTATTTGCAAAGACCGTGGTGTGAGGGGAGTCTGAGGCCAGTGGGAGACTGCAGTTCTGCAATTCTTTTACCGGGCTTGCATCTGCTTCAACTTTTATTTCCCTTTGCTCTGATTCTGTTCGCTTTTAAAAGTGGCCTTGCTTTACCCATGCCTCTTCCTGTTACCATCGGTGACCCGCACAAAGTTGCAGAATATCCTGCAGGTGCCAACACCGCATGATCAGCACCAAGGGCCTGAGCTTCCTACCCTCCTCTGAGTCCCCCCAAACTGTGGCTCTGGATGCTAAGGATGTGCATCTTGGCCCTGCAAATCACTGAGTCTGACCTGACTGCTTGTGATTTGTGACTGTATCAAACGCCAGCTCAGGGGGAAGGAATTTCCACGCCGAAGTCACTCATATTCCCCGCCAGCCCCCAGCTTTCTGATTTTTCCACTTCTCCATCTACTTACTGCTGCTACTGGCCTGAGAGGTCGGACAGCTTGCTCTCTAGGGACACAAATGAGGACAGGGAACGTGGGTATGGCTTCACCGCCTCCTCCACAGCCTTTCCCATAGGAGAGATGCAGGGGCATGCACAGCAGCCAACTTCTCCTAACTCTGCATGGGTGTGACTATTCCTGCAGCAGCTGCTTCTTCCTTTCCACGGCTGACTCCACAGATGACACTGGTGGGGCTACAGGAGTGGGCACCGGGGAGCACACAGCCCTCTCTGGAAAGAACAGATACCCTCTCGCAGGAGAATGTGAAGGGGGCAGAAAATGAGAGCTCCCTCCCAAACTTCATTCCACATCCTCAGGTCAGACAGGCAGCTCCATGCAGGTTGGTCCACATGGAAAAAGGGTGTGCCCTGTTGGGTTTATCATAAATCCAATTACAACTGTCACTGCCTATCTGTGGCAACAGTATTACCAATAAAGCAACAGTATTACCAGTAAAAAACACTAAGGACTTAATGGTGTAGAGAGCTCTAGTTTTGCACTGGTCTGAGAAATATTACTCCAGGATGCCTCAGGACCTTTGCACTTGCCATTTCTATATTTTCCCATTTTTGCACATAAATGACTACATCAAATCCTTCAGATCTAGAATCAAACATCTCTCTTCCATGGAATCCCTCCTAGGGCACTGAGGTAAAAACAGTTTCCCCCCTCCTTACCCTCTCATAACTATCACTCTCTTCTGCTTTATCTTGGTAACAATTCATCATCAAAAACTGGTTTACTTGAGGTCTGTCTCCCTCTGTTGGCCAGGAGATCTCATGAGGACAGAGATTTAACTTGCCCCTAGCTATATGCAAAGAACCATGCTGAATGTCTAACATGGGAGTTGCTCATAAATATTTGTTCAGTGGGTGAATAAAGGGATTCCTTTTGGGTTTCAATAGAACCTTCTGAGGTACCCACTGCTTCAAAGAAAAACAGTTGGGACTAGTGAGGCAAATTGAACTCTTACCTAGCATGCAAAATGTAAGGGGAGAGGCCCAAGGTTATAAAATATAAATAATATTTTAATCCAATATTTTAAGATCTCAGTGCAAACAAAATCCATGGTCAATATTAAAATTTTAAGTAAATACAGGATCCCACTGTGCACAGTGCCTCACTTGCCTTGTTCTAATCTTGACTCACAAATCCTGAATTTATTTAAAATTTTGATATTTTGCTCAACCTGAATTTTTGCATTAATTTGCATTTTTTAAAAATTTACATTAAAATATTTATCTTACTGAGATTTTTGGTGACCCTGTAGATTTTATGCCCCAACAAGAGCTTTCTCACCTCGCCCCAGTCCCAGCCCTGAGGGTCTAAGTGGAACAACAAATAGCTCTTCCTAGGTCTAACCGGAGCTCAGTGATCATAACCCATGCCCACAGGCTAGTGTTTGAATTAACTTGGGAGCCTGCCTCCAGATTACAGTGTAGATCTTAGGGGCAGGAACTGTCTGGTTGTCCTTGTCCCCAGCCCATGAACACAACTCAGTAATGAAGTCACATTTACATGCAACCTTAGCTTCTCCATTCACACAGCCCTTTCCACTACGTTGGGTTTGGTTTTATTCTTCCCATAAGTATCTTTACATCATAAGTATATGCAAAGTATATGCCCCTAGTCAACATAGCATAATTGCTACAGTTTGAAAGCAGGCACCAAAGTCCATGTGCTGGAAATTTAATCCCTTATGCAACAGTGTTCAGAGGTGACTAGGTCTTGAGTGCTCTGCCTCACAAATAGATTAATGTTTTAAGAATAGGTTTGTTGTGATAGTGAGGTCATTCCTCTCTTGCTCTCTCCCATATGCTCTCCACATGTGATGTTCTCCATGATGGAATGATACAGCACGAAGACCCTACCAGATGTGCTCCCTTGATCTTTCCAGCCTCCAGAACCCTGAGGCAGGTAAATTTTTATTGTTTGAGTCATGTGGCATATGGTATTCTGGTACAGATGTAAAAAATGGACTAAGATTGCAATGTTCTGCAAATCATAAAACATAGAATGTGTGATCCAATATTTAGGTATTTTCTGTAACTTAATCCTTGTTTTTTAGCATCATGTTTGCAAGGGCAACTCATGTTGACAAGTGTTTCTCTAGTTTAAGTGTTAGGAAACTTCTGTAAAGATCCAAAGAGTAAATATATGTTTTCAGGTGGCCTCTACTCAACCGTGCCACAGTAATGTGGCATATTCTTGACACTAACAAAGGAAGGTGGCGCTGTTCCAATAAAACTTTTCTTACAAAAAACAGGTGGTGAACTGGATTTTGTCTGTGGGGCTGTAGCTTGCCAGCTCTTTATTCACTCCTGCTTTTGGGAGCTGTCTTTAATATAACCAAATGTCTTCCTCCATTCCCCTATAGATAAACTCCCATTCTGGTATTTACATCCCTTCAATGAAACACGTGCTGCTGTTAAAATTTTTTCTTCTCTTTTCATGTATACACAGATCAGTTTCTCCCATATATATACCTAGAAGTGGATTTGCTGACCACAGGGCATGGAGCTTCGGTGTCACAGACAATGCCAAGTTGTTGAAGAGTTATGAGATCAATTTTCACTCCCACTGGCAGTCTATAAGAGCTCCTGCTGCTGCACATGCTGCCCAATAGTTGACCACATCAGATTTTTTGATTTTGCCAGTCTGAAGTGTAAACTGGTACCTGGTGTGGTATTAATTTACATTTTCTGATACTACTTGGGTTGAGCTTCTTTTCTCGAGTTCATTGGTCATTTGAATTCTTGAATGCATGAATTTTTGAAATAAGAGACCTCCCCTACCCTTGGAACTGCCTATTTATATTCTTGGACCTTTTATCTTATTGGAGCGCTTGTCTTCCGATTGATTTGAAGAAGTCCTTTATGTACATATTCTGGATATTCTTTGCCAGTGATATGTATTGCAATTTTAAGTATGTATTATGCCTTTACTTTATCATTTGATCAACAGAAGTTTATTAGTTTAGGGTACCAAACAGTTGTCATTTTCCACTATGATCTGTGCTTTTGTGACTTAAGAAATTTTTCCCTTTGAAGCCAGATGACATAGATTTGAATCTCACTGTAGCACTTGCTGGCTGTGTGATGTTGGGGAGACACCTAATATACCAGGACCTCAGTTTCCTCCTCTGTAAAATGGGTATAATAATGGCATGCATCTCCCAGGTTATTTTGAGGGTGCTTGTAAAGTAATCAGCACAGTGCCAGGCACATTATCATCTCCCCTTCAACACACACAGACACCTCACTGGGGACCTAGGAGGAGGAATGAGGTTACCTTGCTTTCTAGCAGATCTGCAGTCTGCTGGAGTTCATTTCTTGACTTTTCAGATTTTTCCAGCTTCTGCCTCAGCATTGTGAGCTCCTCCTGCAAAAACAAACACTTGCCTAGAAGCCATTGCAGACCAGAAATACACATTCCATTTAGGTTATGAGTGATTCTCTGTTAGAGTGGAGAAATAAGATCTAGTGATCATTTCCACAGAATAGTGATTGTAATTCTAAAAATGCATTATATACTTTTAAATTGCAAAAAGTAGATTTTAAACATTTTTCCCACACTGTAGAAGTTAAGTATATGAGGTGATGGATTTGTTAGTCTGACATAATTATCCCACATTATAAATACATACCAAAATATGACATAAATATATACAATTATGGGCCAGGGATTTAGCTCAGTGGCACTGTGCCCTGGCAAGCACAAGGTCCTGAGTTTGATTCCTGGTGATATATATATATATATATAATTTTAATTTGTCAATTAAAATAAAATTTGATCCTGGGTTCAATCACTGGCACTGCAAAGAAATGAATTTTTAGAAAGAATGGCTGCAGAACAGAGTGGGTGATCATCAGTGTATCTGCAATGGTGTCCCAAACTAAATTCCAACAAGGGACATTTCCTTCATCAGGCCCTAATATTCACACCTCTACTCATACTAGGCTGGTCCAGAGCAACCAACCTGTGGGCGGAGTACAGCTGCTCAGAATTGCTAAATCTGGGTGGGACTGGCAGGCCTGACTGCAGACAGCGTGCTCAGAGCTTCCTTCTCTCCAAGTACCATCTTTCTGCCAGGGGCTCCCATTAGCAACAACTTCAATGTGCTCCAGCAGGCTGGAGGAATGAACTATAGAACATGGACATGAGGGGGTAAATGTGCAACTGCAAAAGGGGAACAAGGAAGAGCTCCATAAAAATGGACACAGATTACTTTCAGAGTAAATTTGAGTGCAAAATCCAAGCTGCAGACAAGGCTGTACAGGCCAAACATCCTTTATTCCAAATGCCTGGGGCCTGTGGCAGATTTCAGAGGTTTTCAGATTTAGAATGTTTGCATGGACTTTATCAGTTAAGATTTTTGGATTAGGGTGCTCAGCCTATATAGTATTCTGCTTTTTATGTAAGAAAGAAAGGAATTATATGTGTATGTATTTGCTAATTTTTGCAGAAAAAAATCCAATAGGAAGCATGAACAAGAAACCATTCAAAACAGTTATCTATGAAAGATAGTTGATTTACAGGGTGGAAGGGACAGGAAGGAGTGGTTTCTGAAAGGTTAGAAAATAAAAAGCTCAAAGCTTCCACTACTGAGCCTCTCCCTAGCTGGGGTGGCAATAACTTATTCAACTTGCACCCCTCACCTACAGAGAAACTGGGTTGGGATGGAGGATAAAGGATGATCTGTTGCTGGAAGTACTCAGAAGAGGACATGGAGGCCTGCTGAGCTGAGCACTCCTGGATCAGGAACATTCAGGGGTAGGGACCCTAGGTCCTGGACACAAGCACTAAGATGAGGGCTGGGGAAGAAGTTACTACCCAGAGACCTGTCTGCAGCATGGACTGACCTCCTTGGCTCGGAGCTGCTCATTCCCAACAGTGGCACTCAGCAGGGGCCGGAGGGAACCAAGGAGCTGCCACCAAGGCCAGTCCTTGAGCGCCAGGAACATGGCCACATTCTTCTGGATGCACTGTGCAGCCAGCCGGCGAATCTAGAGGGGAAGAATAGAGATGGGAGATGTCCTCCCAACCCAGGAGAGGGTAAGGGAGGACAGATGCAGATGGAGAAAGCAGGTTTAGACTGCACCTTTATATAAATTAACCCAAGGCATAAGCTAGTTGAGTGCAGTGGGTCAGTGGAGTTGCCCACAATATTTTGATTATTAATGTTCTCACCTTTTCCTGTTTTGCCAAGTGCATATTCTTGAATTCAAAAAGTCACGTACTCTTGAGGCACACGTAATGGAAAGATTCTATTCTAGTAGTAGTAGTCATTAATAATAACAACATCAAGAAAATAGTAGCTAGGATTCATTGAAACACACTATTTACCATTATGTTCTCTCACCCTTAACCAGCTATTAAGAGCTAGAGGTGGAACTGAAACCTAGGTCTTGTTTGTCCTGAAAACATAGCCATGTTGCTTTCTGTCCATTGTGCAGGCTGTAGAGGAGAAATTCAGTCTCCAGAGACCAGGACTCAGGACTGTCAGCTCAGCTTGTTCTTTGATCCCAAAGACTACAGTAGATTGCTGATCCTTGAAAGTGATTTTCTCCAGAGCCGGGATGGGCTGAAATCACGAATTGTCCCTGAGGGGCTTGGACAAACTCATGGATACCTAAATCAAAGCCAACAACCCTTGGTAATTTGAGGTCATGTTCTAGAGACAAAGACCACATCTTGGGAAGCATCTCAGTGCCCAGGTGCTCCTTGGGCAGGCATCATCAGCATTGTCTTGGGAGACACACAGCCCTAGTGTTCACCCCACAGTCACAGGATTATAGTGTGCATGTCAACACTATGCAGTACCTTCAGCTTTTTGAATTCCTGGCGAGACAGAAATCCCCGGCATACTGCCTGGAAGAGAATGATGTTTTGAGACACCAGCTTCTCTCGCTGCTTCTCCAGCCTGGAGACCACACCTGCCTTGAGGAAGACCTAGAGGAAGGGAAAGCTGCAGGTGACTTCTCTGCTCAGTAGGGTCATCTAGAGTGATAGGAACTTGCAACACAGACCCCACTCTCTTGTATCCACTATAATGTTTGTTGGCAGCCAGCCTCTGATGAGAGTCTAAACATCAAAGCATTTTGTCTCCTGGTGGCTCCTCTTTACCTTCCTGCAGTTCCTGGATGCTCAGCATGGTTCATGCCCCAGCAGCTTGAGCACCACCTAGGAGCAGGTTAGGAATACAGAACATTGGACCCTCCTCCTGGTGTGCTGGGTCAAATTGTGCATTTCAACCCAATGACCAGGGAATCTGTGTGCATCTTAATTTGAGAACCACAGCTAGGACAAATATTCCTGAACCCCTCTGTGCATGGGAATCACCTGGGGAGACTAGGAATGCAAGTTTCCAGGCCTTATCCTTTCCCAGGCCTCATCTCTGGAGAGGCTGAATCAGTGGGTTTGGGGCCAGGCAGGAGAATGTGCTTTTTTTTTTTAAAGTGCCACTGGGGATCAGAGATAGCAGCATCCTAGAAATAACTTCACTGAGTTTTGTAAGGAGGTACAGACAGGAAAGAAGCAAGGGGAGCCCTCCTGGATGGAGAGAGTGGGGCTGGGCTGCTGCTCCCATACCAAGGCGCTGCTCAGCCAGCAGTAGAAAACAGCTCATGGTACCCTTCTGCCTGCCAGGCCGGGCTCATCAATAATAGATGATCATGATCACCTCAGCAGCACTGTGATCAATGTCTGCTCAGCACCCCACAGAGCTGCCTGTAAACAGACCACAGGGAACAGAATGGGACCAAGAAAGCGGGGGAACACAGGGCTGCCTGTCAGCAAAAGATGAAGGCAGAGAGTCCCAGAGGTTTGGGTTGAAGGATTTTCTAAGGGAACCCAAAGCTTTTGGGGCAGGCCTGTCCCAGCCAAGTAGGGGACCTACAGCTTGATCTGTCTGCTCTCTCACCTGCCATAGGCAAAGGAAAGAAATTCTAATGGTGAGATTTAAGTGACAAAGAGACAAGTCACTTTTCAGATGACTCTATGATGCTTATTTCTAAGAACAGCTCTGTGTATTTCTTTGTCAATGAGCCTCAGAATCCCAAAGGTGTCAGTTTCTCTGGAGAATCTGGTAGGTAGCTCTAATTAATTAATGATATTGTCTAATTAATCTAATTAATTGATGATGTTACCAATTAGTGGGCAACATTTATTATGCACTTTCTACATTCTGGAACTGAACTAAATAAGCACTTAACATATAAGTAAAGCACTTTACATACACAAACCTATAGGATAATTATTATGAATCTTCCATTTTATGGCAGGAGAAACTAAAGCTAAGAAAAGCATTTCCTTACAATCCTTCACTAGCAAGTAACAACCCCAGGATTCATTTCCTTCTATGTGACTCCAGACAAACCCATAATTGACATTGCTTGTAATTAACATTTGGATGACAGCTACATTTTTCAAAGTCCTTCCTCTCTGTCCTTTTTAATACTTCAAACAGCCCTATAAGGAATCAGCTCTGTAACTGACCAAAGTTCAAATAGCCAGTGATCATTAATGCCAAGACTTGAACCCAGGACCTCCAGCTTATCTCTTGCACCTATTTTCTTTGCTGACACAAGCCTTCATTTCCTCATCCATTAGGATACAAACATCTGAAGTTAGAGGTTCAATTCCAATTTGATTCCAGTTGGAACAAAGGGTCTCAATCAATTCTCCATTATCCTAAACCTATTTTCAGTACTGACGATCACTCGGCCAATCCTATTGTGAGCCTTTACTCAGTAGAGAAATGAAAAGGAGCACACTCAATTGGTGCATACTCTGTTTTGCAACCTTCTAACACTTTATAGAAAAAACACTTGCTATCAGCCAGGGCCACTGAGACAATTAGCCTCATTGAAATAAAGACACGAGTGACTCATTACCTATCAGATTGCCTCAATAATGACATTATTAATTTCACAAGCTAGTGAGTCCCAAAAGCTACTAAAAAAAAATCAATGATCAAGATGATGACAACACCACTTCGTATATTACCATAGGTGGCGGGTGCGGCCCAAACCACTATTGATTAAGTATGAAGCTTTCATTAAAAAGATAATTGGAAACGACCATACACAGAATGGAAATAAGTCATTGCCTCTGCAGAATCTTATCTCGATTTTTCTCCCTTTTGAGAGCATATTGCCCACCAGAAGTCCTATTTATATTGCATGTAGAATCCCATCTTTCTCATAAATGTCACAGCCCATGGCAGAAGCCTTGATAAGGTACCAAGGGCTGAAAAAAATCACAAAGAAAAATCTAAATTATTCACTTTTGATGGGTCCAGCTGCTTATCAGGGCCATACAGAATATAACATCCCAACATCCCCATCTGTAAAGAATCCATAGGAGCCATTGTCTGTAAGCTGTATTTCCTCTAAAAATGCTGAGGGCCAAGTTTTCTAAAGTCCTTAATATGGCAATAGCTCCCATCTCTGGTACCACTGAGGGGTTGGCTCCTCTCCTCCTGTTAGTTTTACAGATCAGAGAAGTTTAATTCTATAAACATTAAGATGTTATCCTATTTGATCAGCATCTTGTCCTACTGACAAATACATTCATTTAGCAGCTAGCCCATTAAATGACAATGTACTGATTCCCACACTAGGGAAGTAGAAAGTAATGGGTCCCTTTCACAGATGAAGTGACTGAGCCCCAGAGAGGTTTAACCACTCACTCAAGAGTCACACAGGTAGGAAATGGAGGAGCCTGGGTATGGACTGGATTCACCAGTCTTTTCTCCACTGGCCTTCACAGACATCCCATCTACTGAGTACCAAATCCTGCAGTACAGAGGATGCTGCATCTGCCCCTAAGACCTCCATCTATTATCCAGCCTGGCTTCCAAAGGGTAAACTAACATTGATTTGCTTCTAGGAGCTTCTTAGAAAACACAATACAAAGTGTTGTTTGATAATAATAATAACAATGTTTTATTTAGGGAATGTTTAGGCTTATCAACTTCCACCTCCTGCCATTGTAAAACTGTGTGTAACCACTTCTGTCTTCTTCCTGGCTCTGCAATAGCTGCCAAGGGTCACAAACACTGAAAGTCCTCTTCAGGAAATAGCTGAGTAGTTATGTAGACCAGTGCTTCTCAAGCTTGAGTGTCCAATGGAACCACCCAGACGTGGTCCACCTTGTATCTGCACTGACTGCTGGGCCCCAACCCGGTCCCCAAATCAATGGGACTTGGGGGGAGCCTGAGAACTTGTGCCTTTTGCAAGCTCTCAGGGGACACTGGTGCTGCTGGTCTGAGGGCCACACTTTGAGAAAGCACTGCTGGTCTAAGAGGATGAGTTGTGAGAAGATAAAGAACAACTCCTTGATATGGGACCACAGAGACCCGTGTTAAAGAATGCATGATATATTTCCTGTAATAATAGAGCCCTTGGCAGACTGAGAGATACTGAGATTTGGACCAATACAAATTTGCACAGAGTCTGTGCTCTTGGGTCCCTAGAAGTCCTTGGAAAGAGGCTTACTTCCCAAAGGCACAGCCTCTTCCTGGGGAAAGCAAAAATGTCCTTGTTATCTCACAGCACACTGCAAGGAACAAAGAGGAACAAAATGAGAAATCACCTGCACTGCACCTGGCTTGTGGAGGTAGCGCAGAAATGGACAGGTTTATTCTCTCTGCTAGAAACATCTGCAAAGGCCCAGACAAGCAACTCCCAGCAGGAGCAATCAGGTTGAGACTGCAGTAGACTAACAGCCTGGACCACATGCCTTAGCAGAACCCAGCAGCCAGAAGGGAGATGCTGGTGTGTTCAGATGAGTTGAGGGCCACTGGGCAGTGGGAATGACCTCCAGGGAAAGTGAAGGGGCTGACTCTAAGAAGGATACATGGCCAATAATACCAGCAGGTCAGGCTTCTGGAGAGGAGGGCCCTACCCTAGCTCCTCACATAGGATCTGGAGGCAGGAGTCTATCAACCATGGTTTGTTGTGCAGTCAGTCAATGGAAACTAGGTGGGGAGATGGATAGAACTATCTTTCCTTTAGTTTGTTCCCTCTCCAGTTTGTATTTCTAAACTTTATTGCTTTTCCCCTGTTCACTTCCTGGTTCTTGAGTTTGAAATCTCCACGTCTCACTTTCCGAACTACAGCCTATGGAACAGCAGCATCAGAAGATAGTGATGAGTACTCCACAAAAACGAAGGTTGAGTGTTCCATGTCAAATTGTTTGAGAATCGCTAAATACCATGCTTCCCTTCCTGAAAGTGTGTGATATACAAACATACTGGGAAAGTATTAAATTTTCTCTAAACATGTATGCATATTTGGAAGAGCTTTTGGTTCAGCAGCAGTTTGGAAAAAAACTACCTCTCCACTCAAATAATCATGGGCCCATTCTCCCGCCCCTTCTTTCCGCTCATGTACTGCTACTAATCACCTGGAACTATAGTGTGTTACAGCCACTTGCAACGTAGAAGGAAAAGGCTCAGTGTGCAGAAGAGGGCCTAGTGCCTCTTTTCAGGTTTACAGCAGTTCTTCCTAAGGCACAAAAGGCCATTTTGGTACCGGCACATTAATTTTCCCTGAGTGTCCCTGGTGTGTAACCATTAACCAGTGCTACTTCCCAATTCTGTTTGCTCCCACACTATGACATTTTATCTTCACAACTTGTAAGACAGGCAGGGAGGAAAATTATTCTCCCTGTTTTTAATTTGGATAAAGGAGATAATGGGTTATTGAGAGAGGGTGAGAACTGGGTCTCACCTGGTTCCCCGACCTGACAGACAATGTGGTCAGAAAGACACTACTTACTTGGCTGTGCCCCATGGCCACCACTTTCTTTTCCAGATCCAGGGTCTCAAGAAGCTCCTCCACAGCCTAGGGCAAACAGAAATACAAACTTAGAGGAGAAGATAGACACAAAGTAGGAGAATCTAAAAGGAACCGTCAGGCCAGCTGGGAGAGAGATGATGACTCCACATGTCTATGAGTTTGCCTAACAGCCCAAAATCATGTAGGCATGTACAGAAGAGGAGCTAGGACTGAAAAACCAATTCTTTTCATTCTCTAAACAACCTTAGGCTGAGCATGGCAGTACACTCTGTGGGGCTGAGGTAGGAGGATGGTAAGTTTGAGGCCAGCCTAGGTAATTTAGCAACTTAGCAAGACCCTGTCTCTAGATAAAAAATATATAAAAGGACTGGATATGTAGATCCATACAGAGACTCTGAGTTCGATGTCCAGTATCACATAAACAAAATAAAAAATAAAACCACAGCCTCTGTTGGGTTGTCCTACCCCCAAGTCCATTTTACAGAGGATAAAACAAAAGGTACAAACAAAGCAAAATGAATAGTGTGGCTGCTATGGAAAACTGTGTGGAAGTTCCTTAAAAAATTAAACATAGAATCTAGCAATCACCTTTCTGTATATGTACCCAAAAGAAATAGAACCAGGGACTCAAAGAAGTACCTGTATATCAATGTTCACAGCAGCATTATTCACAACAGCCAAAAGGTAGAAACAACACAAAGGCATCCACTGAGGGGTGAATGGATAAAGAAAATGTGGTCCATTCATATAATGAAATATTCAGCCTAAAAAAGGAAGGAAATTCTGACCCATGCTACCACAGGGATGACCCTTCAGAGCATTATGCTAAGTGAAATAAGCCAGTCACAAAAAGACAAATACTGTGTGATTCCACTTATATAAGTTGCCTAGAATAGGCAAATCCATAGAACAGAAAGTAGAAGAGAGATGGCCAGGGGTTGAGGTTGGAGGTGGGAGATAAGGAGTTAACGTTTAAAAGGCACAGAGTTTCAGTTTTACAAGAGGAAGAGTTATGGAGAGGAGTGGTATTAATGATTGTACCATATTTCAAAAGTGCTTGATGCCACTGAACTGTACACTTAAAGATGGCTAAGATGGTAAATTTTATGTATATTTTAATGCATATGCAAAAAATTTAAAACCCTAAATGAAAGTAGTTCTCTAAGATTAAAAGTTTGCACAAAGGACAGAGCCAGATTTGAATCAAGATCTGCCTGTCCCATTGCAGCATCTGCTCCCTGAACTGCTTTGCACAACTAGGATGACTCTGCAGCACCCAAGGGCACTAAGAAGTTCCCCTACTATGTCACCAAATCCCCTTGGGACAGCCAACCAGCCCGCTGTACTTCTTACATTGTACTTACCAGCTCCTGCCTCACTTACAAATAGTTACTCGATAAATGGCATTTCAATTAACTATGTCTGTCTGACTGAGACTATGACAAGGGAGTGCGTGTTTATTCATCACTTGTTTCCTCTGCTGCACTACAGCGCTCTTATACAGTAGGAGCTCAATAATTATTACAATGAATGAATGTGCAAACAAATTAGAGAATGCAAAAGTGAGGGGTTAGAGAGAGGCAGCCCCATGCAGGAGCAACAAATACACTCAGATTTCTGGATGCAGCACTGACCAAATCATCGGCCATTTCTATGGAATCTTCCTCTTGTCAAATAATCACTAAGGTTGTCAAACAACCTCTCCAGAGATGTGTACCCTCAGATAAATGCAGGTCATGCCTGGTTCCTTTGTGGCTGCCAACTCCCCTCCCACTTCCCCCTCATGTCACCCCTCATCGGTCTTTCACTCACTGAAAATCAGAAAGTCTGTTTTCAGCATACACTGTCAAAAACATAATTGCAACACTCAAGAAGCAAAAAAAATGGGATGAGACTGGAGTCATTGAGCGGATGAGATTCGATTCCATGGGTCAACAGCATCACAGAACACTTCCTAAGACATCCCCCAAAACGTTGCTTATTAAAAGTCTACTCCTGGACTGCAATCAGGAAGGCAGTTTTATCTTCTGACCTCTTGAAAGAATATTCTATGACACTCCTCCAAAATTTCAGTGGTTTCACCTACTACACTTTAGCAAAAAATGTTTCAAGGGAGTTGTAGGTGGTAGAAATGCATAAAACCAATATATCCAGAATATAATATCTTTTCTTTCTGCACAAAAAAAATAATAAAAATTGGCCGGAAATAGGATGGATGGAAAAAAGTGTAATCTATGGCCAGTGAAATTTTTTTAAGTCTATCTTGGATATAAACTCTAGGATAGATGTTTGGAGAAAAAGTATCAAAACCTGGAGTTGAATTTGCCTGGCTTCAGATCTTGGTTTTACCACCCATAAACTGTCTTCAAGCAAGTACTTTACTTGAGCCTCAGGGTCCTCTCTGGAAAAAGGAAGAAATGATGGCATTTGTCTTAGTAGATTCTAAGGCTGTGCTGCAGAGGGCTTTATATAGAACAAGCACTCAATAAATGTTAGAAGCTATTCCACGCCCATTGTCACCTGTATTAGACAAAACTTGGTAGAGATCCTGCAGAACACAGAAGGCTTCTTTTTCTTGGATATACCCCAAACACTGCCAAAGAACGTGGTCACCCATCATAATAACTGAGGATTCTTCTCCATCTCCTTGTTTTCATAGAACACTTAAAATGTCTGTGCAGCCAAGAATACCCGCCCTAATGAAGATACTGTATTCTTTTCTGTTGACCTCATCTTACAGACAAGCAAGCTCTGGTACAAAGGATGGAATAGGTAAATGTAAACGTGATGTTATATATCTGACCCTCATGCGTCTCTGCAGCGTGGTGATAATCCCTCTGCCTGGACCATACAGCACTTGGGAAGATTAATTAAGAATATATGAAAAGTACTTTGTAAACGACTTTGTGCTTAATTGCTGTTTTGTTATCCTGATTAATAATATTATTAGAGTGAGTGACATGAAATTGCTCTTTGTTTGGGCCAAATATCAATTATTTCATTTTGTTCAACACAATGCAATCATTGTTCAGCAGCTAGTTGGTAGAAAAAGACATGGCACGAATAGGGAGTTATAATAAGAAATGTCTCCTTTGTCCTGCCCTTTACAGAATTGGCACTTCCATGGATCCAAACTGTCCAGGTAATGGAAGTTTATTGCTCAACACAGAACACCACTTTGAAGAGTAAGATATTTGCCATTTTGCTCCAAGAAAACAGCCTGCAATTCTTTTTCTAGGTCTGAGCACTGCTCGAAGGACTTACACATAATAACTCGTTTTTGTTTTCAAGTCTCTGCAATAGGTACTATTTCATTTCAATTTTACAGAAAAAGAAACTGAGGCTCAATGCAAAGAAATGACTTGGCAAAAGTCCATGTGTCTAGGATGTGTGATGGCAGGTTATCCAAAGATTTGTGAGCTTGCCCTTTACCCTCCAACACTGACATCCAGCCCAGTTCCAATATCCACAAGCTGTGTGACTCTGAGCAATCACCCCTCCTCTCTGGTTCTCAGTTGCTTTTTCTAGAAATGTGGGAATCATACCTGTGCCACAAGGGATGTAGTGAGGATTGAATGAGGTCATAAAGCAGCATGTAAGAGTAAGATTTCCAGAATGGTGAAACAAGGAACTTAACAAATCCTCTCTCCTTTACCCAGAGATGATAAAAATGGATAAAATTCCCCAAGGATCAAGTTCAAAACTCTGGAAATCAAACAAAGGAACTTAAAAAATTGGGAAGCATTTATTCAAGACAGACTACTGAACCTCAGATAGGAACAGTGAGAGTTGGCGGCAATCATGACTGGGGCTCTCCCCTCCTCTTCCCTATCTCCCACCCCAGGTCTGTCCCTGCAGAATTCCCACCATCGTGAAGCAAACTGAAAGTTAGCAGCTTTGCTGCCAGAAGGAGCTCACTTGTACAATGCAAGGTATGGAACCAGCCCTTACCTGGGGTTAGTTGGAAACAGTCACGATCTTGGCAGCAAACAAATGGGAAGGTCAATGGCATTGCTAAGACTAAAGCAGTTGTCTTGACTAAGGCAAACGACAGACCACACACAAGCCAGGAATTTAACAAAGAGTTATAGGAAATGGTACAGACATAGCAAGTTTGTGGTGATTGATTAATTGATGGTCACCTTGGGTGGGAATGCCCAGCTGGGCTGAGTTAGCATGGTTCTGGGAAACGGTATAAAAGGAAAACAGGAGGGGAGGATTGTATGCTGACTTCTCTTGGAGAAGCTTCAGCTGTTCTCTTCAGCTAAACTCTGGTCTTTGCCAAGGATGGCTGTTGTTCTCTTGGGAGGAGCTCTGGGCCTCTCCCCCACTTTGAGCATCGCCTGCTGGCCTTTGGCACAGACACTTCGGCTGGGAGCTCTGGTCTTTGCCTTTGCCTTGGGCATTGTCTCCTGGTTCTCTGCATGGATTCTTTGGTTTCCAGCACTGGCCTTTCACCTGCCAGCACAGACTCTCTAGCCTCCAGCACCAGCCCTTGGACTTTCTTCAGTCCAAGATCCTTCAGTCTTCCATCATGGATTCCTTGGCCTCCTGATGCCACCTTGCATGGGACACTGTCATGGGCTCTAGGTCTTTGGCTGGACTCATGTGGGATATTGCTAAGGGATCTAGGTCCTCGGCTGGATTTTTCAGATCCCTAGCACATTGATAGATCTCTTGCACTCTTCTACGTCTGACTCCAATAAACACTCCAATACAAAGTTCCTATGTATTTCTGGCTTAGACTAAACACAAGAATAAAAGAGATTGGCGAGGGCCCTAGCTGTCTTTGAACATCCCTCTTTGAACAGAAGGTCATATGTATAGGCAGAAGAGATAGAAAAGCAAAAGGCAGAGCCCTGAATCCATACAGAGATTCATCAACAGAAATGTAAACACTGCACAGATTCTAGGATTCTCATAACCACCCCTGCTGACCACCAAGATATGTGCACACAGGGGCCATCACTAGAGATCCAGGCTTTAGAATGAAAAGAATTTTTAAAACTGGTCAGAAATGTCAGTGGCTCCACACCAAAGGAAAG